TACACCACCACCACCAGCCTGCACAGTGGTAACAAGGCATGATGGTTCCATGTTCTCATTCTGTTTACGCCAAATTCTGACTCTAACATCTGAATGTCTCAACAGAAATCGAGACTCATCAGACCAGGCAACATTTTTCCAGTCTTCAACTGTTCAATTTTGGTGAGCTCTTGCAAATTGTAGCCTCTTTTTCCTATTAGTAGTGGAGATGAGTGGTACCCGGTGGAGTCTTCTGCTGTTGTAGCCCATCCGCCTCAAGGTTGTGCGTGTTGTGGCTTCACAAATGCTTTGCTGCATACCTCGGTTGTAACGAGTGGTTATTTCAGTCACTGTTGCCCTTCTATCAGCTCGAACCAGTCTGGCCATTCTCCTCTGACCTCTGGCATCAACAAGGCATTTCCGCCCACAGAACTGCCGCTCACTGGATGTTTTTTATTTTTCGGACCATTCTCTGTAAACCCTAGAGATGGTTGTGCGTGAAAATCCCAGTAGATTAGCAGTTTCTGAAATACTCAGACCAGCCCTTCTGGCACCAACAATCATGCCACGTTCAAAGTAACTCAAATCAACTTTCTTCCCCATACTGATGCTCGGTTTGAACTGCAGGAGATTGTCTTGACCATGTCTACATGCCTAAATGCACTGAGTTGCCGCCATGTGATTGGCTGCTTAGAAATTAAGTGTTAACGAGCAGTTGGACAGGTGTACCTAATAAAGTGGCCGGTGAGTGTATATAAAATGGCCTTGATATGTTTTGTTTATTAAAGCAACTATAGCATGATGATGCAATATTTTACAGATGTTATCTTAAATCTGCATCTGAACACCAAAGACCTCTGAGATTTAATTGATAGTGTCGTGGAATAATGAAATCTTTCCCTCTTTTTCAAAAAATCTCTCGAAAGAAGTTCCAGATGCTAAAAATATTAGACTTTATTGGACAAAACAACAGCTGATCATCCCATTACAAATTCTCATTCTTATTCCATTTCTGGCACCAATAAGTGTGCATATGAGTTCTTTCCCGGGTTTAACCAATCCTGTTTGTTTGCCAGTTAATTATCAAACCTTCTTACAACATCTTAATTGTGGCCTGTTGCCAGCTCAATTTTAGAACATTATTTTAAATGTTAAAATAAACATAAACAAAAGAACATTTGATCTCATTTATAAAAAAAAAAAAAAAAAAAAAAAAAGTGTACATTACATGTAAACAGAATAGATCACTTTGATTAATGGTTGCACAATTCAGTGATTGAATGTTTTCTTTACCGTGTTTTTCTGTGTACTATTGCTGAGATAAGATACACAGAATAGCATATGTGCGACCGTCAAAGTTTCCCATATAGTTATAGGCTGTGTGGCCTAATATTTCAACCTAGATATCAGCAAGAACCCACACAGATGAGAAATGGGCAGAAGGTCTACATGAGGGTGTGTGTTAACTGCTCTTTAATCGAGTCCCTGCACATCTGTGTCCACTCTGTATGCCGACTGAAATAGAAGGGGAGTGAAGTTTGGCAAACAGCTCTGTCATTTAAATGATAAAAATACCAGTAGAGCTGGGAGGGGTCACCGCTGTATAAGCACAGGCGGCACGGTCCAACATTACAGAGACGCATGAGAACTAAACCACAGCACCCCTTCAGTCTCCCTGAAACACAAACTCCAAAGAATTCATGTTAACCTGCTCTTCATAACCAATTAACTTCCCTGATTAAAAGAAAACAGCTTAAAACCAGAACATGATCTTCATACCCAGGCCAAGCTGGTCTCAGTGGGTTTAAGATGGCGTCTCAACTGAAAAGTGACCAAAACCCCTCAAAAAGACAAGCCTGACCAGACTGAAAGACCAGCAAATCAGCCTAGTGGGAGTCTTTTTTGGTAATAAAATAAATATTTTGTTGTTTATGATTATCTTTTTACACAGATTTTGCACTATCAACCTCATCATATTTTTATTACTTAACATGATATTTAGCACAATATAGGCCTACATGTGAATTATTAAATAGAACCGGATCTAAATAATTATTTGTTCGTGAATCAAATATCACTGAAGGTGCTAGCTCAGCCACATTTAACATCGCTAGACGAAATTTCGCGGGCGAAATCGTCGCGCTGCTTGGTCTTTTGTGCGAGGTGTTTATTATTTATTCTTTTCGCCGTCGAAGTTTCGCTGAAATATCGGGTTGCTTGGCGAAATTTCGCGGGTGAAATGCAGTCGTTGGTAACGCGAATTCGCCGCGCTGCTTGGTTTGAAAGCGACGTGCTATGCGTCGCTTCACGATTGACAATGGAACCTTTTTGTCGTCGAAACATCGCTAATGTACTTATTTAATCCCACTGTTGATAGAAATCTATTCAAGGAGACGCATGTGGAAAAATACTGAGGACATTAAATATTTTATTAAATACAGTTGAGCCAAATTAACTTCATAAAATAGAATTGTTGGATAGATATACAGTACATTGACATTAATTATGAAAAACAAATCTAAATTATAATAAACTCATCACACAGCCAAAGAAAATATCATGCTGGTAAAGTGAAGAGAGCTTGAACTGTCCAGAAGGTTTGCAGGAGCTTTTGGTGGTGGGATTGCTTGAGTCGCTCAGTCTACCTGCTGAAGAGCTTCATGAAACTCTGAAATCCATCTTCACCGAAGAAATCAAACGCTCCCTCTGAGCTTCCCAGATGAACCAGGAGCAGGACCAGCAGACCCACCAACAGCAGCGGAATCAAGAGATTCCAGCCCGATGCCAGAATGTTGTACCACTTCGCCTTGTCTGAGCATTCCTGTGCTGCACGCAAGTCGCCCAAGGTCTTCTGATCTCGAGCCTGAAAACACAAACACACAGAGAACGGAAATGAGAGTCTCGGACAGTCGTGTTTTAGCACATGAACTCAAATCAAGGTTCTTAAACGGTTCCCTGCATTAGGTCATTCTCAGCACTCTTGAAAATAAAAGTCCTTTATTGCCATCAATGGTTCTTTAACATTTATGGAACTTTACAGTTCACAAAAAGGTCTTTTTGGAAAAGGTAAGATTAGATTAAAATGCTCTTCACACTAAGAAAAAAAAATGTTACCTTTAAAACGGTTCACTGAAACGTTCTTTGAGAAACCCAAAATAGTTTATGGCATCACTTTATGGTTCTTTGGAGATTAAAAAAAGTTCTGGATGTTGCATTATCGGTTCTTCAGATAGGCGTTTTGGTTTAAAGCACCAGTATATAATATTTTTCTAAACTAGAGGTTCTTCTATGGCATTGGGCTGTAAAACCATTTTTGGCTTCAATTAAGAACTTTGATGGTCCATCATGTGACATCCAGGAATATTTCTGAAGTAGTTAAAGCCACACAAAGACATTTGGTGTTGGAGCTCACCTTGATGGAGTAGATCAGAGCCATGAATCCCAGGCAGCAGAAGTTGACGTAAAGAGTGTTACAGAGTGACCAGACCAGGTAGTCGTTTGGTGGCTTCTTGCCCGCTTGGCTCATGTTGACCACCGTGGAGCCGCCAGCCTTACGGCCGGACTTGCAGTTAGTGAGCGGAGTGCAGTCGTTCACGTAGCTGTATGTGGCGTTATCCATCCTCGGAGGTCAGGGGTCAAAACTCCTGGAAGAATCTGAAGAGGAATTACTGAGGAGAAAGATCAGGACACTACTTATACAACACTGCATATGGGTGGAGTCTAAAGAGAGAGAACGGTCATTCATTATGTGGTTGTTGCTAGAGAGAACAGGGCAGGGTGCTGCTTCTATACATGTATCCATTTCGAGAAAATCTCTAGGTTTGCTCATAAAACACACAATTAAAACTATAAGGCCATTTTTAAAAATTCTAAATATACATTTAAATCAAATCAAATTAAAATGCATAAAAATAAAGACATTTTAAAATAAATACACTTTATTTTTACTATTTTAAAAATGTTAACTTACCAGATTTCTGAATCATTTCCGTTTTATAGGGGTGTTTAAGAGCCTTTCATTCATTTCATAAAAAAAAAGGAGCCTACGGGATAGAAATGGGGACAGGACGCAAGCATCCTCATTGGAACACCAAAGCGCTTATGTTTAGGAAGCATGTATGCTGCAAGCTAATAATTTTTTTTATCATCATTCAAGTGATGTTTATTTTGGTCACCACACTGTTATAAAGTCCCAGGATCTGGGGATCCTGTGTAAGGAAGTGGCGCCTCCTACTGGAAAGAGCAAGGCATTAAAGGTGAAGTTCACTCAAAAATGCAGTCATTTACTGAAAGTCTGGAACCTTAATAAAAAAATGCATTTTTATTAATCAAATATTGTGAAGTCCCAAAATGTAAGAAATCAGAATATGATTCATGCAATATTTTGAGTCTTCCAAAGCCATATAGACAATATCTTTGCGGGATGAACAAGCTGAAATGTATACATTTATATTACATTTTGCCCTCCAAATATCACACTTGCGAGAATAAAATTTTAAAGGTATGACAAAGATAAAGATTCAAGCTTTGGAAAATTAGTATGTAGTGAAAAGAAAACGCACAACCAAGATTTCAAATGAATACACAACTCAGTCATAGAGACCAAATATTCTTATTTATTAATTACAAAAATGACAAAAGCCGTTACATTCGTGTTAACACAACTGAATTATATTCAGTTAAGGCAAAAGGGACGGAAAGAGATCATTTCTCCTATTCAGCTTTAAAATGCATCAGTAGCCAAGATACATAGATCAAAAAAAAAAAAAAAACTAAAGCATCACACAGTCTTTAAATTAAAACGTGTTAATTCTCAGATTATTTTTGTCTATTCTACATTTCACAGACAATCAAAATGCAGAAATACACTGAAAGAGGCTGATGATTAAATTTGGATTAGTTTTATGCGCTTCCGTGTGCATCAAAGGCCCCCATTTGGTTTAATGGCATAAATCATGATTATGAAATCAGTGTAGCATTTGCCAAAACCACTTGTGTTGTGAATTGGCCATGTTATATATGATGTCTATTTTTACAGCACACAAGGAATGAGTTAAGCATCATGACCCTATATCACACTCTATAAGAGAATGAATGTGTGTGTGTGTGTGTGTGTGTGTGTGTGTGTGTGTGTGTGTGTGTAGAGGGGCGGCACTTTTAAATCACATCTTAGAGGCTGCAGCCACAGCAGACGCTCCACCGCGACTATAAACATGAATAGTGTTCTGGAGAGACAAAGACAGAAAATAATGATATAACACCAGCGTTATTTAAAAATTGTTGAGATACTATTATAGTTAAAAAAAAAAACATTATTAATTGGTTTTTATTTGAATTTGGTTTTTGGTTTTCTATGTAATATTAGTTACATTTTTAGTAATTCTATATAGTTTATTAATTTTTATTTCAGTTTTCGTTTGTTTGTTTAGCACATCAAGCTAGTTTTTTTATATTTAATTTTAGTTAGGATTTATTTTATTTAGTTTATATCAAAATATGAATGGTTTTAGGTATACACCCTGATACATTCTAAAAGAACACAGATGAATGTGTGTGAGACTGATCAAATGTTTTCTACCTTCTTCCCTTCAGCGTTGTGTTTATCCAGGAGAGTCTGAACACGAGTCCCATAATCGTGGTGAACGGACATCAGGTTTTGCACCTGCAAAATCACACAAAAAAAACGTCGGAATTATCTGGAATCATGTTTTTTTTCTAGGCATGTTCCCCAATAGCTGCTAATGAGACGTTTAAATGATTTGCATGAGATTAAAATCATACCACGCGCTTCTGGATAAACAGTTGAGCTCCTTTCATATGGCCGGCCATATTCTGACACAGACGCTCTCGCTCGGCTTCATTCAGCACCTCGGTGAAGAACGTGCGCACCTACGGAAAGGATCAGAGCGGGAAATATTATAACTCACGGATGGCTGGATTATCAGTACACAGATGCACACGATCGCTAACACACCTGGGTCACGTTGTCATCGTCTGCGCTGTTGTATCGGCCCACATCAGGAGACACTTGGCACTTCGACTCCAGGAAGCACGGCTGGGTATCGGGAGCACTGAAGCTGTTGGGGAAATAGTTCGGAGCTCCCCCTACAGGTCCGGACAGAAACTGCTTAACATTTCAATTCAGATTTCATTGTGCCACAAGAAGTTTATAAATGCTTCACAGCATTTGGGTCACATGCCTATTCAACCATTCCAGACAGATGTTGCATTGTTAATCTGAGTCACTTTTGAGAGACTAATACCCTCTCTTACCCAAAACCAAACCCTGTATGACACATGACGTTTTTTCTGCTAGGCATATAACTCACCCTGGTTGTCGTACATGCACATGGGGCCGTCTCTCTGGTAGTTTGCCACACGGGTGCGGTAGGGGCAGTTGACGGGCAGTTGGAGGTAATTTGCTCCGAGCCGATGCCGTTGTGTGTCTGGGTAGGAGAAAAGACGCCCCTGTGGCGAAAGAATTGAGTAATTACAGCATTTAGTCAATTCTAGGGATTCTTGTAATTAGTGATTAGTCATTGACGCTTTAATCCAAAGTAATCTACAGGACGCTTATTACGAGGAATCAGAGCTTAAGTGCCTTGCTCAAGAACAAAATAGTGAACAAGCATCTTTTTGTGCATCATAAGCCTGTGCAAATAAACCTGTGAAATGTGTCTAGGTATGTTGCTTGTGACATAGTAGTAAAGACGTACCTGCAGCATTTTGTCCGGGCTGGCCTCAATGCCGGGCGGCATGTTACTGGGATCGAACGCCAGCTGCTCAACCTCAGCGAAATAGTTCACAGGGTTTCGGTTCAACACAAGGCGTCCCACAGGAATCAGAGGGAATTCCTTATGGGACCAGACCTGAGAGATAAAGATCCAGGCATCAGGATGGACACATTAGTATCTAAATGAGACTAAAATAATGCACAGATTTGTGTAGTCTAAATAGGAGGGCCTTTGAATGTTGTCTTGGACAAAGGGGGGCCTTAGATTCAGAAAGGTTGAGACCCACTGGTGCATTCTGGGATGAGAGTACCTTAGTCACATCAAAGGGATTCCACTTCCAGTTCTCCGCCTGCTCAAAGGTCATGACCTGGATGTAGAAGGTCCAGGATGGGAAGTTGCCGTTGGAGATGGCGTTGTACAGATCTCTGATGGAGTAATCTGGGTCAGTGGATGCAAGACGATCCGCCTCTTCAACGGTCAAATTCTTAATGCCCTGATCAGTCTGAAAGACAACAACAAGTGACAGGGTTTCTTAACTAGGTGACATCATAACATCAAGAGATAAATCTCTTCCTTTTACAAAATAAAACTATTTATTAAAACATTTAATTGCCTATACTACTACTACTAATGATGATAATAATAATAATAATAATAATAACCATAATAAAATGTATTAAGACAGGACACATTCAATATTATTGAATAATATTATTAATAAGGGATATCAAACCCAGATATATAAATTATTAGAACATGACATTGGTTATTATTAAGCAATATGAAACAACTCAAATATTTTTCCTCCATGTTTTAATTCATACAGTATACAAATTGTGCTGCGCTATTTTGTGCAGTTAAAAAAAAAAAAAAAAAAAATTATTTTAATTTATCAAATTAATTGTTAATCATTTAAAATGTAATCAAATTAAATTATGATTAAACGGTTTAATGAATTCATTTCATTAGGCACCATTTCTGATGGTAAATTTGTATTAAATCATAAAACAGAATTCAGAAAAAATAAAACAAAACAGAATTTAGGGAAAAATAAAATGGATTTCATGGGTTCCCCTTCATGTTTAGGGCCGTGAAAATGTAAGTCGATGTCCCTACGTTAACATACCGGCATGCATCTAAAAAAGGACACAACACACAGGTCTTCCAGAAATCCTGTAGAACTCAACCAATCAGATGACGACTTTGAAACTGCCAAAGTGTTTCGCATTTTGTGTGACGTTCAGCCAATGGTCCGTGGGTGAGACGTCGGAGACTGAGACTACTGTGGCCTTACATGTTACATTCATTCCCAAGGTCTAACAAACATATTGAATGCATTTCCTTCCCCATTAATGGTATGAAATAAATATTGTGATAAATATCGATATCAAATGATATGGAAAAATATTTTTGACCATTATCACCTAGCCCTAATTAAACATTAAATTTGTGCTTATTGGCTGTGATTTTGTCACGTCAAGCTGCAGATTTCACACAAACAAACAGTATGGACCTTATAGTGGAACTTGCAGTACACCGGCTGCCCCTGAGCGTTGACCAGTTTGAAAGTGTGCGATCCGTATCCGTTCATATGACGGAGGCCATCCGGAATTCCCCGATCGCTAAACAGGAAAGACACCTGCACATACACATACACCAGCATGAGTGAGACTTTCTGCATTAACGTGAGAACACAAAAGTGACCTGCTTCTGCTGCCGTACCTGGTGCAACGATTCAGGACGCAAACCCCAGAAATCCCAAACCATATCCGGATCCTTCACGTGAGTCTGCGGATTTCGTTTCTGAGAGTGGATGAAGGACGGAAACTACAGGCACAGTGAACACACATATTCGGTTAATATTGGGACAAGGGACTTAATGGTACGGTGTGTGGATTGTGTCTCTCACCAGAAGCGCATCCCTGATAAAAAAGATCGGGGTGTTGTTTCCAGTAAGATCCCAGTTGCCCTCATCAGTGTAGAACTTCACTGCAAATCCTCGAGGATCTCGGACGGTATCTGCCGACCCAGACTCACCAGCTACAAAGATACAAATGCACATTTATCAAGGGACAAAGGTTGTACTTTTTACTTTGAGTAGGCAAGAGAGCGAGAGTGTGCCTTATGTTATAATCACATCGTTTCTGCATGTGCTCTTTACCCTCTTACAAAACCATTTGGCTCCATTTCAGAGACCTGAGTGTCACGACTTCTGTTATGACACCGTTTCCTGGCATTCCTAATCCCAACATAACAATCGATACATACAGAGTCCAGGCGCCACTAGAACCATTATAATATCCAATCAGAAACGTACCCACAGTGGAAAAGCGAACAGCGATGGGTGTTGTCTTTCCCACATGCTCGAACACTTTGGCTTTACAATAGCGTGTGATGTCATGGGTCACTTCGAAGTAGCCAAACGCTCCTGCAAAGAGAGAGAAAAGATTTAGTTTTAAGTTCGTATACTACCGTTCAAACAGTTTGGGGTCAGCAAGATTTTTTTTCTTAAATTAATACTTACACTGAAGACTGGAGTAATGATGCTGAATGCAGCTTTCCATCACAGGAATAAATGACATTTTACTGTATATTTACTGCACAGAAACACAAAATCTCTTTATGTTTCTGGTCACACTCACCTGCTCCTTTAGCGTGCACGACTCTCTCTGGTATCCTCTCTCGGTCAAAGTGGGCCATTTCATCAGCAAACACCACGTCCTGGACCAGCAGTGGCCCACGCGGACCCGCCGTCATTGAGTTTAACTTGTCCCCAACCGGGACTCCGGCTCCAGTGGTCAGGACATCTGGCCGCTGAGAAAAAAAACAAAACAAAATGAGACAGAATAGCAAAAATGGATCTAATTCAAATAACATTGAAACAAACCAAATCATTTTATTTATTAAACTCAAATAACATGTATTTTATGATTATTTAACAATGCTTTCAAATCAATATTCGTCATATTTAGATATTGATCTATCTCTATTTAACTATTTTTATACTATGAATACATTTGAGGTGTGTCACTTAAGTAAACAAGTTTTATAAAACTATACTGGCTAAATAAATAGTATTTTATAGGCATTTGGCCTGAAAATGGTGATTAAATAACCATAACAGATATTTATCTACTTATCTGGTTAAAGTTCAACTGTCGCAGATTCGCAGAAGTAGAGTGTGTCCTCGTTAAATAAATAAAAAGGAAAGGGGCATAAATCAAAGTCCCTTTAAGGCTGTATATAAAGTATGCTTATGTACATAAATATAATAAATAACCTAATTAGATAAATTATAAATAATTAAAACTATATAACATATAAAGTCGGCGTTCTCAAATGTGATTCGTTGAGCAAGGTGTCATTCATGTTATTGACCATTCGCGTAAGAGAGCAGTGGGATGGGGCGGGGGCTTAAACCTCTTCCGTTAAACCGGTTAAAGTATGTTGTTTACCCACTTCAACTACGAAAACATTTCACCTGAAATTATATAATAAACCGGATCTTTTTGAGCGTAATTTTGTGCAAACATACCATGCAATTAGACCACAGGGGATGTTATTTTCAATACCATACCAGCATCTGACTAGTGTTTTATGCAATTGTACATAAAAATAAGACAGTATCTAACGTTACTGCATTCATAAGTGACAAGTGACATCTTAAATTCACGATTAAAACGCTCTGATAGTCACATGTTTGCTTGCAGTGAGACGATGCATTATTTTGTCACTGCAGTCAAGACAAGTATCTCTCTTTCAGATTTAAGTATACAATAGTTTTAGAGTAAAGTCAATTTTAAAGCAACGCAACAATTCATTGTTCTTGAGACGTTTTGCACATCAAAACACGAAGATATAACCAAATCCCTTTCGTGTTTATTCATTACAGCCTTGCGACCTTTGGCACAATTTCTCAATGCACAATAACCCATTAAAAGAAACGCTGAAAACCCAATTAAATGCACAAATCTGAACTTATTTTTAACATAACACTACAATATTCAATAAATAAATTCTGCAGCAAACCTGAGAGCCGCGGCCCTCCTTCCACAGTTTCATCTGATCCGTCGCCTTGTCTCTGTCTGCCATTATTCAGGTCTTGAATGACACACAAAACGCGATACAAAAATTGTGTGGATCCAAACACCGAACTCGGGGTCTGTCTAAACGGTTGGTTTTTATTAAGGCTGGTAATGGCCTGTCTCCACCCTATGGTCTCCACCCATAGACATAATGTCTATGTCTCCACCCATTGAAACGTAGCACCTAAATGGGCGGGGCTATGTTGTCCGAAAGTTGCCTCTTATTGGCCAAGCACGATGGATCTACATTTTACTTTTCTAACACATATTAATGACCTCTTCAGTGTTTTTTTAGTTCACTGTTTATTAAATATTATCGGTGTTAATTTTCAGATTAGACCGAGCTTAAGCAACGCAAACGAAGTGGTCACGGGAAATACGTTACTTTTCTCAGCGCTGACCATGATGGACCAATCATAATAGCAGAAAATGTCATCGATATCTCATTAGCAGATTTTTTCTTATGCTCGAAAATATGGCACCGTCAAAATAATAAGAAAGTGGGGAAATACAGTGACATTTAAAAGACACTGAAGGTGAATAAGGTAAATTTTTAACTAATAGATCACCATACTTTCCCCAATTATAATCAGTTTAATATTTTTGAAGGCTATTAAAAGTTTTCTGAAATGGAATGTTTAAAAAAGCAAATGCATTAAATATGCACTCATCATTGGCATACATTTCCAGAACAGAAATCTGAACATTGGACAGGATCAAAATTCTTCTTTAAAGATACATTTTGCAATCACCGATCTATATGATTGCAATTGAAATCTACAGATGCAAATAGATAAGGTGTAATTAACACTTAAATGTGTAGGATTTTTCTTTCCACTAGTCTGAATGAAAACAAATTATGAAAGCAAAATGAAAAAAAAAAAAAGTTAAACAAATTGTTCATTTGCTTTCCTTATTATTTTCTTGTAACTAATTTTTTTTTAATATAATACAAATACCTATAGGCCTACTTCTCTCACATCTCACACAAAACAACTGACTTCATATGAAACAAACCACATAAAGCATTTTTATTTAAACAATTCAGTGGATTGCAGTATGTTCTACATTACCGGTACATGTGCATGCATTGTAAAGTTATGTTTTATCATTCTTTAAATCTTTTAAAGTTCACCGACATCAGATGTACACTGCGAATGAGAATATTGCTTCTATTAGGGTGAATTTGGCACAGAATGAAGTTTAATGGTGTCAAGCTTAAAATATTGTTAGTAGTAAAAATTAATCACAGCATTTGCAGCACTTCATCAAATCAAATGACTTCACCACTGCAAGAAGCTCAAATCTGTTTTTCATTCTACAAAACATTTGAGGTGTTTACGATGTAGGAAGTGATTTACAGATTTTGGTATGAAGTTTTTACATTCTGTCATCAAAAGTTTTTAATTATTGCGGCAGTTAAAACACCTTTAGATTTTCTTTCGTGCCGAAGAAAACTCATGAGAACGTGAAAGGATATTAGTTTATACAGATTCCAGTTTGATATGAATGTATGTACTTTATGCAGTGTTGGGGTGATGCATTACAAAGTACAAAACTACAAAGTACATGTTCCTGTGATGAAATAACATAAGGGATTACTATTTATTTTTCAGTAATCCCGTAACAGTTACTGTTTCGTAGTTACTTGCGCTACATATATGATTGTAATGTACTAAGGCTAATTCAACAACTATATTTA